ATAGATGAAAATAATTTCAAATACATACCTTAAATCCCTCCAATTGTCTGATATGACTGCGAGACATTTTGAACTTAACAAGATGATTTCCTTGAAAATTGGGTGGCAAAGATTGTAACTGATATCCATCCCAATCAATCCATCTTAACACGTTGGGCAGATAGTTAATGTCCCCACATAGAGATGCATTATGGTTTATAAAAATTTTAAGATTCACCATATTACGGAAGCATTCTGGATTCAAAGTTATCTTAGCTGCTTTCGGAAGCTTCACCATGATGCCTTTAATATTTCTTGTTCCCTGATATGGAAAAGCATTAATTAGGAAACGAAGTCATTGTACAAACCAAAATGCAAGCACATTTTGTTAAGAAAATTAAAGTAGCATAAGGTATTCTTTCTTGTCAAATTGAATATAATAACACATGTGATACTTACTGTACTTTCCATTAGAACTTGTATGACATCCTCGTAAAACCACAATCTACTACGCTGGCCAGGATCATTGGGGGATTCTTTGTGAACTATATCCTTGCCCAAGTTTGCTAGCAAGTCGTGCATTAAAATCATTCTCCCTTCAATAGTTATCAATGCCTTATCAACGAATTCTTCAATGAATATTTTGGGTACTATTCGTAGCACATAGTCCTCATATTCACCTTTAAAGAAACATGCAATGTCAAGAAAATATTCTTTTGCGCGATGATCCAAGGCATCATAACTTTTTTGAAGTATTCTTTCAATATGGGTATAAGGTTCTCCTTCGTAACCATTTAATGTATCTTGCCAAAGTCGTATATCTGTACCACGAAGATGAGAACCTAAAATTTTTAGAGCTAGTGGAAGGCCATCAGCAAAAGCTATTGCACGTTGTGCGAGTTTCAAATAATCTTTTGGAGGTTCACTTCTTCGGAATGCATGCCAACTGAAAAGCTCAAGAGCTTGGTTGCAATCTAACTTCTTCACCTCGTATATCAACTCAATTTCACGATTGTTTAGCAATCTCCTATTTTTTGTAGTAATGATTACTCTACTACCGTCACCAAACCAATCATCTCCAGCCAAGTTTTCTAACTGCTCCAATTGGTCCACATCGTCAAGAATTAATAGAATCTTTTTATGCCTCAGCCGTTCTGTTATAACACCGATTCCTTCATCAACATTGCCAATTTTCAAATTTTTGCCTAGAAGCTTATCAAGAAGAGTCTCCTGTAGCTGGACTAAGCTTCCTTCTCTAACATTTGGCAAGAAACAACTTCCTTCAAACTTATGGGCAATTTCATTCCATATAGCTTTTGCAATTGTTGTCTTCCCTATTCCAGATGTCCCCCAT